AACCATATGAACTACATAACAAAATGTAAAACAAACCAGAAAATTGTATACAGTAAATAAGCTCACAATGTGGCAATTTTACCCACAGGACAGAAAATTTAAATGTGGCTAGGGGAAAAATAGAGAAATAGAAGAAGAGGAAAAGATTAGAAGCAAGGCTGGAGGACAAAGCAAGATTACAAGAACTTGGCAAAACTGGTAAAGAAGACAGAAGTGAAAGAGAGAAGGAAAAAATATGAACAAGAACATAACAGAACAACAAAAAACTAGAGACAACATTTACACTCTTAAAAACAAGAACAAACATCAAGAATAAAACAAAGACAAAAAGAAAAAATTTTTTAAAATGTCCGCTTCAAGGTGTATCTCTGCCATCACTGGCAGACAAATTGAGCAGACAGAGCCCAGCTCTGTGTTGATTAATCCCAGCAAATCACCATAGATTTATGGCAGGGTAGCACCTGTGGTTCTGCTGAAATTCAGGCTGGTTTCTGTCCCTAAGGCTGAAACCTGATTTGTCAGCCTGCAGTACTCCATGTGCTTCCTAATGGCTTGAACACGGCTCCCTCACCTCCTGCTGACTTGAACTTGCTTCTGCCTCACCCTGACACTGGGAGCCACTAGACAGAGTCAGCAGTTGCTCTGAGTTCCAAGTTCAGTTGGTCCCTCTCCAAGATGGCTACTGGCCAACTGCCCTTCCTGGAGGACGTCTGAACCCAAATAATTCACTGGCCACTGCAGTCAGCTGTGTCCACTGCTGTATTCCACTGGTGTTATTTTTCTGTAGAGGCCTCTGGGGTTGCCAGTAGTCATCATGTGTCTGCAGATTCAGGCTGCCCTTCCTATGCAGTGAGTCAGGGCTCAGGGAAAAAGTGCTGCTTGCCACCTCCTTCCTCATTGAAGTCTCTCTTTGGCCTTCCTGTGGGCTTCAGTTCTTGCTTCAGATCCTTACTGGGTCCTAAGGACCCACTTCCCTTCTTCTCTTCCTCACATTGCTATATACCAGTGTCTGGAAAGCAAATCTCAGGCTGTTTTTCTGTTGTTCACCACTCTGCCATCTTCCTCTGGAGAGTTTTAAAGAAAGCCTTGCTGTTATTTCATCTCCAAATTCTTCCTTATGAATTTCTAGACACTTTACCTCACATATGAACCCAAACAAGGCCCATACTTTGTGTTCGGGTGTGTCTCTTAAATCAGGAGCCCCTCCCTTTTTCCTCTGTCTGCTGTTTGAGTGATGCACTGAGTTGTCTGTCTGTGGCATGCCCAGCATTCATGGCTGCTGCTGCTTTGTGGTGTCTTGAAGCTCACTCCTGTATGCCTGTAGTTATTGCGAAGGGTGGGTAGACCCAGGGCTGTGGGGACATTGCTCCTTCCCTTCCAGCCCCTCCTGGTGCTGCAGGTCCTTGCTGCGGATCCCTCCCAGTCTCCATCTCCCTGTGGATCCTCCTCCCCTCTCCATGTCTGCTCAGCCCTCAAGCTCCTCCTTGCTCCCTTCTGTGCCTTGCATGAAACACAATCCAGAAACTGGTGACCCTGAGACTTAGGATTCCAGCTGCTTCCTGTCATCCCATATAACATGATCCATAGGAGTCCTGGCATTTTCCCAGATCTGTTCCTTCCCAGCTCTCTTCACCTCTAACCCACTGCTGACTGAGTTGTTCAAGCTAAAGAACTGGAGCCCCCTCCCTTCTTGCTTTTGTTCACATCCCACTTCTAATCCTTCCATGCATCTTCACCCTCTGTGGCAAATTCACCTGCTTCTCTCCTCAATCTCTGCCTGGTCCTGGTCCTATCATAGCTTCTCTCCTCGATACCTTCTATCATCCCTGGGGTGCTTCAATTTCTCTCCACTCTGGGCACCATGATTGCTTCTGTGCACAGGGGACTGGCAATTCCTGGGGCTGGGGGCAATAGGATGAGGTGTTATGAATGGGCACAGAGCCTCAGATTTACAAGATGAAAAGTAGAGATGACCAAGAGTAATGGCTGGATGTCATAATGTATTTAATACCACTCAGCTGTACACTTACAAAGGTTAAGATGGTAGATTTTGTTTTCTGCACTGTCTCTGTCCCTGGGACTTAATGCTCGACTAAACAGCTAAAAGGAGGAGAAGCTTATTTTGGCTCATGTTTTTAGTCCACGGTTGGCTGGCTCCGAAGTGGACAGCTCGGCAGAGGCCTGGCGGAGGAGAAGCTGCTCACGTCACGGCAGCCAGAAAGCACAGCGTGGAGGGAGGGGCCAGGGAGGGAAATAGCCTTCCAGGTCACACCCCCAGTGACCTGCCTCCTGCAGCCAGACCCTGCTTCCCATCAAACCAGCTGTAATGCCCAGTAATCCAGCCACCTTCCAAACACATGAGGCTCAGCAACCATTTAAGATCCAAACCCTAACATGTATTTTCAACTTAAATTTTTGAAAAGTACACGAGGATCGTGTACTCCTGTACTCAGACTCCTCCAATAGCTTTTCATAAGAGTAAGACTGCGTCCTGAGGACCCGTATAAAGCCCTGATGCTCTCTGTCCTGCCTGGTCCCTCTCTTTCTCTTGCTCACTGTGCTCTGGCCACACAGGCTGCTTGGCTGCTCTTTGGGTCCTGGATTTGTCCCCTCACCCTCTACTCCTCCTGTGTCTCATCCCCACAGAGCTCATCCTGGATCCTCAGGGAAACAGCCCCCACCCCCATCACCCCCCACCTCTCAGGCTGCTGTGTCCCTTCTTCAAAGCACTGACCCCTGCCTGACGTCTCCTTGTATAATTCATGTTTATTGCACTCAGGCCTTCAGTGGCATAGAAATGACCAGGCTATCATGAAAGCCACCCTGGGCTCTGTGGAGGGGATGGAAGAGAAGATTCTTCACAGCATTGCTGAAGGTGACAAGGCAGGCAGAGCCACTCCCCACCCCGGGCCTGAGTATGCTGTCTTGTCCAAACGTAGTTATACTTCTTTTCTTCTCTTTTCTCTTCTTTTTTTTTTTTTTTGAGATGGGGTCTTGTTATATAGTTCAGCCTGGTCTTAAACTCACTATACAGCCCAGGCTGGTCTCAAACTCAAGGCAGTCCTCCTGCCTCAGCCTCCTGAGTGCTGGGACTATAGGCATGCGCCACCATGCCTGGTTGTATTTCTTGCAGTGACCACAACACCAGAAGCTACACCCAAGCTGGATGCTTATCACTTAGGAGCCCAAGCTAGGCAGGTGCTGAAGCCTTGCCTTGGAATGCCTGTCTTACCTGAGCCTGGGATTGTTTTCTTCCCTCCTGCCCCCTGAACACCAGTCATCTGTAAATTAGAGGCAACTGGACACCATCCCAGAAGCTTTAGCTTATTCAGGGCTGGGGCCTGGGTGCTGGGAGGGTTTGAGGTTCTCAAGAGACTTCTTCTGCGGCTGGGATGGACAGCCCATAAGCTGAGGCTTGCATGAGCCTGGGTTCTGGGGCGTCAAGGCCAAATCAGATGCTCAGTTGGGCAACCTGGGAGCTTCTTCCCACACCCCAGTTCTGCCCTGCCCACCCTGCGCCTTCCACACAGTGACCTAGGAACCTGCAACAAGGAGGCTCTTCCCCACAGACAGACCTGAGTGGCTTCCCCACCACCTCAAAGGCCTGGGGAGGAGGCCGGTAGCTGCCCGGAGGGAGCAATCCTCCTGCTTCTTCCTGGGCCAGGAGGGGCCATCGTGGTACTGAGTCAGACACTCCAAGGTCCCTGTGGACAGTGGCCAGCATTAAGGCCCTCCAGGGCCACAGGCTCCCCTTGCCCTGCCCCAGTCCCACGTGCAGGTTTCAGCCCTTCCCTCCCTCTGGGTGGAGGGCTCTTCGGCCGGCCCCTCCCCCTCCCAGGCGCTTCAGCTTGTCAGTCTGTCTTCTCAGGCCTATCTCTCCCCAGGCCAGGTCCCTGCTAGTGAACCAAGAACTGGCCCAGGGCTGCCGCGTGGGGGACCCTGAAGACCCATGAGGCAGCTTCTGGGATCAGAGCTGTGGATCCTGGGAGAGGGCCCTTTCCTCTAGCAGCCAAAAGTCCACCCCCACCAGGCTGCAGGCCGTGCCCCTCCTACCGTGGCGGGAGACCCTCAACCTCTCTCCTCCGATCAGCCCTTGGGGGCTAATCCAGCTTGCCTTGGAAAATAATTGTCTTGAGGGACAAGGGGACAGGGGGAGGGGCCTGAGCTCACACTATGGTGGGCTTTGAACCCACACCCACTGAAGAGAAGGCTCAGCTGCCCAGAGACTCCTCCTCTGTCCCCACAGGAGCAGTGGGGGAGGTGGCTTCCCCTTCTAACACACACCTGTCCTCCACCCCGGCAGAACCTGTTCTGTTCTGTAACCCTCACATCCCCCTACCCTGTTTTTGTTTTGTGCTGCTGGGGACTGAACCCAGGGCCTCACGCATGTTAGGAAAGTGCTCTACCACGAGCTATAAGCCTACCGGACTACCCCTACTTTCTGGAAGAGCTAACCAGCCCTGGGGCACCCAGCTGGCTGGAGTAAAGGCCGGAACATGGTCTCCTAACTCAGAGACATTCCCCCAGGCAGGGAACTTCTTTCTGCCGCCTTGCCTCAGGTATTACAGCTTTTGCTAAACTGCATTTCCTGTCCTGCTCACTCCTGACCTGGCTGCCCATGCACCTCCCTGGGGCCCGCCTTCTCCTTGACTTTCCAGTCCCTGCTGGGCACAGACCTGAGTCCCATCTGCTGGTCTTTCTGGGGCCTCCACCAGGCACTGGCCTAGGTCAGTTGCCGTCTCGCAGGGTCCAGCACCCACCCAGGGGCTTCTGTGCTGAAGAATCTCCCCAGCTGTGCAGCAGAGGAGGCAGTGTCACCTCCCTTCTCTAGCAGCCAGGCAACACCTGCCTTCGCCATCAGGGCAGGGTCAAGGAAGGCCTTAGGGAGAGGTGGATCCCAGAAGGGGCAACTCTGGCCCCAGCAACAAAATCTACACGGTGAGGTGTGGCACTCATGGCACTCGGGCCTGGAGACTTCAGATGTAGAGGCACAGGATGGCTGAGGTTGGGAGGACTTGTTTATTCAAGGCACAGTCATAGCATTGATAATAAGAAGGTTCAGCATTCTGGCACATTCCTTTAGTGGTGGTGGCCAAGGTTGGACCACAACCCGTCCAGGCCCCCAGAGGATGCAATGCTGCTGATAGGCACTTTGCTTCCAGAGACAGCTGAGGGACAGGCAGGCAAGGCTGGGTCTGCTCAGGGCCTGGGGAAGGCCTCTCTCAGAGGGCTCTAGGCCATATGGACTCCTCCAAGAGGCAGCTCCCTCCAAAAAGGATCGAGTAAGTGGAAGGGGTAGGGAGGGTGGGTGGCGGTAGACAGAGGCCAACAGGTGACACAGGTGTGAGCTGGGGGAGCAGGCAGGTGGGGAAGTGCCCTGGGAGGGCCTGGATGAGGGGTGTATGTGGGGAGCTAAAGGATGCCCCCCACATTCCCAGTGACCATGGGAGGTTGAGGTACAGCTGGCTGCAGGGCCTTGCCTGCGACCCTAGGCCTCCAGGAAGGAGAAAGAAGCAAGTAGAGACTGGTACTTTACCAATATTCGTACCAGAACCGGGTTGCACTTGACCCAGACTCAGAGAGGGAGCGCCAAGCCATCTTGCCCGGTCGCTCGTGGGACCCTTTCCATGTGGAGGGAGCACAGGCTGGAGAGGGAGGGGGCGGCAGCAGGACTTCGGACAGATGCCAACAAGTGGTGCCCAGGAAAGGAGAGGCCCCGGGCCTGCCTGTGGCAGCACCCTCAAGCCCCTTACATACCAAACACCCTACAGGGTTGGGCACAGCCCGCAGGTGGTCATTCCCACTTCAGTTCATTCGCACTTCAGTCACAGTTGGAGCTGGTCAAAAGGCTCCCATGCCCTAGTTGCTTAAATGCCAGGGGAGACGGCCCTTGGGAACTGGCTTGTAAGACCCTGGCTGGGTGGAATTTCCCCCTTATTCCAAGCTGGGTCAGAAAAGAAAGACAGCTTCCTTCCCAGCTGACCCAAGTTCTCTGGAAAAATCCCCATGGCAAAGTTTGAGGCGAGCCCTGAGGGCATTGCACCAACTGCCTTTTGAGCAATTACTTCTCCGCAGGAGTGAGGCATGGAGCTGCTGGGGCTGGGATCTGGGGAACAGTGGAGCAGGGTGGGGCCTAGGTGACCTGCCCTCAGGGCCACCTGTTCCTGGGACAAGATGGAGCCTCTGAAGCAAGAGGCGCTGAGCCCTCTGCAGCAAGTCAGTGGCAGGAGCGACCCAGACCTCTGAGAAGGGGCTCCAGGCGGCTTAGGAGCTCGAAGACTCCATGCAGCTTGACCCTTTCTCCATGTCCACCCTGGCTGGGCTGCACTGGGTCCTGATGGCAGCCTATCCCAGGAGGTGGCAGCTGGTGTCACCCGGCCACAGCAGAGGTGCTGAGAAGGATTCAGCCCCTCCAGGCCTCTGGTGGAGGCAGCCTGGGAGGACAGCCCTGCCCCCTTAGCAAGCGCTTCTCTATGGCGAACACATGGTCACCACACCTCCAGGGCGGGGTTGGCGTCACTGTGGGAAGTCAGGGACCCCCCGAGGCCTCTTAGGTGACCCTTAGCGAACATGTAGAGATGCAAGGAAGGCTCCGACCTGGGCAGCAAGGAATGGCCAGAACGTTCCGTCTGAAGCCTGGGTTTCTTACCCTTAGCTGCTGCTCATGTCGTCCGAGCTGAGGCCCAGCATTCCGACAGGTTCTGCTCGGTAAGGCTAGCGGCCCCCTCCTTGGCTTTGGAATCTTATCCGCCTGGGGTTTGGGGACGTGTATCTGGTTTCCCACCACCCAGACTTTTGGGGAGAGGCCCCCACCCCGAGTACTGCCTCTGTCCAGTCCCTACTGTGCTTACAGTAGCCAGCACAAACTTGCCATGGTTTCCTCACCACACCTCAGGTCTTTTTTAATGAGCCCAAGTGGCCAGGTCCAGCCCACCCTTGTAAGAGTAGGAAGAAGGTGCTGCCTTGCTGCGCTTGGGGACTGTGATCATGGCAGAGGAAGGGGCTCAGTCTCCTCTTCTAGCTGCCCCTTACTGGGAGGGGAGCGTACGAAGACTACGGTTTTCCTGCAAGAAAACCTGCGGTGAGACACTCACTTGCGAGTTGTTGATGAGGCCCAGCACGTACCTCTGCCTCTCAGGCCGTGGGGAGGCCTAGGGGCTGGAGCAGCAGCAGCTCAAAGGGCAGCTGGAGAGAGGGTGATGGAGACCCTGAAAGTTCCATGGGCTTCTTCTTGCCTCCTTCCTTGTGAACATCTTCTCCATCTTGACCCCATTCAGTCTGTCTTGGGCTTCAGCCGCCTAACCAAGACACAGTGTATGCTGCCTCCATGCCATCCTGGAGTTCCTGGGCACTGCTCAGCACCTCCATCCTAGCTGGTCAGCGGGCTGGGTCTCCACGTGGTTATGGCTGAGCAGCAGGCGTCTCCATCCGGAGCGTCCCAAAGTCTGCAGGAGGGAGCAAGGAGGCCCGGGCCACCCTCTCACCTCCCTTGCCAGGTTCTCCCCTGCCCCTGCCTGGAGTCCTGGTCAGTGGTACTGGCTCTGGCCCTCCAGCTCCAGCCCTTCCTGGAATTGGGCCGAGTCCAGCTCCCTTGCAAAGCCCCTCAAACCGCTCTCTTCTTCCTCCTCTGGCTGGCTGTTCATGGTACCGTAGGTGTGCCGGGCTGGGGAGGAGGCTGGGGTCAGGTTCAGCTCCGGCTCTTGCAGCACAGTGGCCACGTACAGCTGCTCAGGATAGAGGGGGTGGCGAGAGTCATGTTGGGAGCAAGGCCCAGGCACACCCTCTCCTCACCCCATCGCCTCTGCCCCTCCAAGCCACGGGTGCTTCCTTCTGCCCCTCCTTCCCTAGCAGCCTGCGCCCTGCCCATCTCTCCCACCTACTTACTCTTGGCCGCTGAACGACCACCTATGAGCTCCCAGGGCTAGTTTAGTGGCAGCTCTCCAACTCCTAGGCCACTGCTCCTTCAGAACATGTTCCACTCATTCTCGGTTCCCAGGCAGGGTGAACCCAGAAGCAGAAGACACAGGGTTCCCCTGGGCTGGGGTCTGGAGAGACCGCTATTGCAGAGGCAGTGACCTTTCTAATGCAGCATCAGAGGCACAGCCAAAGCTCCTCGGGGTGTCATGGAGGTGGCCTGTGAATCAGGATTGAAACTGGGACTGCTAGCTGAGAGCTAGGTCATGTGTCCTGTTAAACCCAGGAGAGATCCCAAGAATGCTGGGAGGGCAGCAGATTAGAAAAACATAAGAAGTACCAGGGAAAAGAGCAATTCGTCACTCTTTAAGTGGTTTTTAAAGCAACTCCTTACTTTGAAAATAGGTAATTAAGGATACTGTTATACCTTTCTGTAGTTTATTTTGGTGAAACCAAATAGTCCCAGTGAATGAGAAAAGTTTCCTACAAAAGAATTTAGACATTTGCATGGTAAGTAACTATGCAAAGTAAACTGCATAGATGATGACCTTTAGTCATAAAGAAGATAAAAACAGGACAATGGAAAACCCAGCCATGTCCCCCCAAGTTGGGGGGCGCTATTAGCATCATTAATTGGAATAACTGGGATGTTATTTATTCCCTAGTGTGATGTATAGCACTCCTTGAAATTCATCCTAGCCATGCTGGACTTGACCATCCCTGTCAGGGATTTGTGGGTATCTGGTTTCAGGGAATGTAGGAGTGGTGGAAATGGCTGTGAGTCACTGAAAAGATAGAGCCAGAAGATCCACAACTTTCTGTAAGACTGCTGGCTCTGAAACAGGGACTGTGCTAAAATTAAAGGGGCACAGTCACCAGCTGCACAGCTGTTGTGTTAGTTTAGTACAGGTACTGGATTGGATCTTGGTTTGGACAGACTATAGCTAGGAATGACGGTGCACTCCGGCAGTGCCAGCACTCTGGGAGACGGAGGCAGAAGGACTGCAAGTTCAAGCTCAGCGTGGGCAATGCAGTGAATTAGCCAGGGACCTATTTCAAAATCAAAAATTGAAAAAAAGGGGGGACTGGGAATGTAGGTCAGTGTAAAGGCTCTGGGTTCAATCCCCAGTATTGAAAAAAGAGATATTTCTGGAATAATTAGGACAACTTCAATATGAACTGGGTATTCAAAAAGATAAAAATTGTTAACAAAAATGCCAGGTTATAAAAACATATGTACAGTATTATTTCATTTTAGCAAAAACTATATGTAACTGAGTGTGGTGCCACACTCCTGTGATTCTAGTACTCAGGAAGCTGAGGCAGGAGGATTGCCATGAGTTTGAGACTGGCCTGGGCTACGTACTGAGTTCAAGGCCAACCTGAACTACACAGTGGGACCCTGTCTCAAAAAAACAAAAACAAAACCTTAAAAACTATATGTACATATGTAACTATATATGTACATAAGCAAAATGTATGTACAGAATTATTTGGAAGACATACACATATAAATACCTGGAAGAATATACACGGGGTATCAGGGATAATTTGGGTGGTGGTAATATGAAGTTTTTATTTCCTTATTCTTGTTTTCTGTTTTTAATCCCAAACAATCTACAATGTTCATATAGCACTCTTGTAATAATAAAAGACTTTAAAAAAATTCTAAGATGGGCCGGTGGCACACGCCTGTAGTCCCAGCCACACTGGAGGCTGAGGCAGGAGGGGATCACTTGAGCCTGAAGTCCGAGGCCAGCCTGCCCAACATATCGAAATCCTGTCTCAAAAAATAAATAAATCAATCAATAAATAGAAAGATAGATAATAAATTCTAGGGTTTTGTTCTTGCTGTGTTTTGTTTTTTTTTTAAATACAGGCTTTGTCCTCAGACAAACCTGGTTCAAACTTTTTCACTCCCTTTCTCAGTGCCCTGAGCCTAGCATGCTCAGCTCGCGGGGTCCCCAGCGTGCCCTGATGACGCTGCTAACAGTAACAATAACCTCTTAAGCCTCTTACTGGGGATGAAGCCTCCATTGCGTGAGTTTGTCAAAATATCAAAAGAGAAAATGGCAAAGCATCAGGTTCCTAAGAGTTCAGTTACTTGTTGCAACCGGTAGCAAAGTGCTCAGATTGGAAGGGTCCGGGATGAGTCTTTTCCTACTTGGAAGTCTTGGTCTTCTCCCCTGCTACCTCTCGGGAAGTGAAGCCTGGAGTTCTGACCCCTCTGTCTGCGCCCGTGGGTGGCGGGTCCCCCGTGTTGCCTGCTCGCTTCTGTCTGTGCACCTGCCCCAGCCCTGCCCGTCGCTAAGGCGAGCCTCGTCTCGCACAGGCCGCCGCGTGTGCACCGAGCTGGAAACGCATCTGTTTGCCCACGCGCTCCAGCCTCTTGCGGCCTTGGCGCAAGCTGCTCCTTTCTCCAAAGCTCTTCCCATGCCCTGCGTCACCTGGCACCCTCTCCTCCCTTCCCGGAGTCTCAGGAGATGTTCCCTCCTGTGGCGCAGGAGGGCGCCCTTCTCTAGGGCTCCTCCGAGGCGCCTGGCTGTGGGCTTGGCAGACCTGGTGCCCAGCTCTGCACACGCACCAGTGGCAGCGATGCGGCGGGGCCGAGGGGGCCTGGGAGCCCGCGTCCAGCCCGTGGGGCGCCCGGCCGAGCCCAGCCTCGGCTCCTCGCTCCTCCTGCGCTGCCCCTGCCTTACCATTCGGTGCGTCGCCAATAGCTCCCTGCGGCTGGGTCTGCGCCTGCGCCTGTGCCCTGGAGGCTGCCCGAGTCCCGAGGCCAAGCCCCAGCACGCCCCTGCGTCTACACGAATGTGGTTTCTGAGATCGGGATTCCCCTGTCCTTCCTCTTTGGGTGCCTCCTTTGTGGGTTACTTGGCCTTGTAGTGCCTGCCGGGTCAGTGTCGGGTCTTCGCTCCTGGCTCTTCAGCCAGTGCCACGGCAGCGTTTGGACCTGGGCCAAGTCCTGCTGCGTCAGAAGAGGGAGCCTGGGGCCCGCTCCTCCCCAGTCCCAGTGGGCACAGAGCTCCGACACCCCCACATCCTCACTGCATTAGGCCCCCCCTGCAGGCCCTGCCCTCCTGATCTGTCCCCAGGGTGAGGGCAAGACTTACAAGGGAGGTAGGGGTGGAGGACGTGCTGCTTGGCTCCATGTCGAACACCGTCTGGGTCTCCTCCTCCGGCTGCAGCAGGGAGACAGGCAGTGAGTGGGTCATGGCCCAGGCAGCTCTTCTGACACCCAGGGCTGCACCCACTCGTGGGCCCGGGCCACCCTGGCACTCGACCTCCCTTCTGTCTTTTCAGGCCTCAGCCCAGCAAACCAGGCAGAAGCCCAGGGGGACAGGCAGAAGGCTGGGGTGCTAGGAGTCTCTCTGGAATGTGCTGTTCCCGAGCACCATGAGGGCAGAAGTAAGCAACGTTGCACGAATTGGGGTTCAAAGATAGGGCTGCTCTGACATCTGCCTTTCTGGGATGTTCCCTCCATTGTGACTGGAAGGAGCCCTAAACTAATCCCATTTATGTTCTCTACTACCTTCCTTCCCTAGAGTGACACTCAGGCAACCATGTCCCGTGACACCATTGTATCAAAAACACAGCTAACTGGTTGTGACATGTGTCTGTATTCCCAGCACTTTGGGAGGCTGAAGCAGGAGGACTGCAAGTTTGAGGTCAGCCTGGGCTACACAGTGATTTAGCAAGACCCTCTCTCAAAATTTAAAAATAAGTAAATAAATAACAGGTTGGGGATATAACGCAGTGCAAAGTACTGGGAAACCCAGTACTGGGAAAAAAGAAAAAAACAACCCCAAGCTGAAAAACTGCAGAAAGACAGAGTTGGCCCTCCACGAGCACTCTCCAGTGATGCAGCAGTAGAGGCAGACAGGAAGGGTGGAGGGTGCCTTTGCCGAGGTCCCCAGTACAGAGACAGAAACAAGGGAAGCAAGAAGAGATGCCTCTAAGACCCTCCCCCTGCCAGCTCAGCAGGGCATCAGCACTTAGAGCTAACTTTCTTTTCTTTATTCATTTGAAAAGGAAGCAATTCAGTCAGAAAACCTGTGCCAGCTGCCATACCCAGAAACATAACTAGAAAAATAAATGCACTTCTGCTGGAAATCATTCCAGTGCCCCAGGCCCAACACCCGCTTTGGGAAATGCTGCTGTAGACACACAGCGTGGCCGCGTGGTTCTGTGTGCCTTCATGCCAGTGCCAGCTCCCTTCTCCCAGGTGCCTTACAGATTAGACTGGGTCCCACCCGCAAACAGCCACAAGGATCGTGGCGAATCGCCCTCAGAGCCGAGCTACACGGGCACAGGCTGACCACCCCCGTCCTGCCTCCTCCACTCTGCTCCATCCTCTGCCTCAGCCCGCTGGCCCTCAGGATGGTGCTCACAGCTGTGTCTGGAATGGACTCACGTGGCGGGGGAACATGCCAACTGCCTGCCGTTTGGAGGAGGCATCCGGGTAGAAAGAGGACAGCACCTCCAGTGGGGGCCAGCCTGAGCTAGCGGCAGCCTGCACACCAAGCCCACAATCGGAGAGACAGGCCAAACCCTCTGGTCCTGTGTTGCTCTGGAGGCCCACGCCAGGAAGGGGTCCCAGGGCTCTGTCTCCCTGGGCCAGGAGAATTCGCGGAGAAAGGGCAGCCTAGTGACTCACCTCATAGTCAGAGGATATCCTCAGCTTCCCCAGAAAAATGCCAAAGAAGGCGATTAGCATGGAAGCTATAAGGGTGGACAGTGAAAATAAGGTGATGCTGTGGAGGTAACCTGTGGAGGAGAAGAAAAGGCCCTGGCTGTGGAGCCCAGCGCTGGAACTGACCAGGGAACTCTGCAGACGTCTAGGAACCCTCTCAGCACCTCCATAGCAGCTGTGCACTTGGGACACACAGACCCTTCCCCAAGTGTCCTCCAAGAATAACAGGATCAACGGGCCAGATGTGACACTGTCTTTCTTCTGTGTGGCCTGTTTAAGAGTTTGGCGTCTGTGGATTCCATGAAAGGAAAAAAAAGTTCTGGTGGACATAAGTGTCCACATTAGTGCCCATCTGACTAGCCTTCTTGTTACCTCTGTTACCACGGTTCTGGGGAGCATCTCTGAACTGTCATTTCTGCCTTGGCCCACACTTGGTCTTTGACCCCTGCCCCCTTTCCTGCAAACCCAGTCAAAGGGAGCATGCTTAGTTATCTGGGCTAATGGCCCTGAAAAGCAATCCAGAACTCAAAAGTCATTTATATTTTGGGTAGAAATATTGAGTCCATTTTTTAATGGCAGCAGTTTTCTAACTAGACGAGGATGGAAAAATCACTCTTTACAGTCAAAGGTGATGTGTGTGTGTGTGTGTGTGGTCCATTTTTTAATGGCAGCAGTTTTCTAACTAGACGAGGATGGAAAAATCACTCTTTACAGTCAAAGGTGATTGCTTAATGATGCTCACTGCAGTGACTGCGAAATAGCACAAAATGGTAAACAGCCTCAGCATCCAGCAGGGGAGAACTAGCAAAAATGGACAGCTTTTAATGCCGCTGTTGAAAAGCATGTGTTCAAACAGCCTCTTAATAACACAGGAAATTGCTCAGAACATAATGTTCTGCAGGACTCGAGGCTATACCAGGGATGGTCACAATTTGGTAAAGTACAAGTGGGTCAGCCCTCTCTCTCTCGGTTTGCTCCTCTCCCCGGGGCAGATGCTGAGGATGAAGTCAGGGAACAACGATATGAGGCTCCAGGTGTGGTTATGGGTGATTTAAATTTCGATCTTCATGTTTTTCTATTTTTGTTAATAAACATAAAGTACTTTATCCTTGGAAAAAGGCGTTAGGAAAAAATTGCTAGGTGGCAGGGAAAGAAATTGAGAGTGACAACACACGGGTACAAATAAATGACCAAGAGTTGGCTCTTCACTGATGTGACTGAGAGTAAAGAAAATACTGCCTCTCCCACTCTGCCCCGCAGAGAAGGTTAAGATCAAGTGTCCCAAGGGGAGGGCGGTGGCTGCCTAGTGGCATGGGCCACTCTGAGGGGAGAAAGTTGAGGGATGTCCTGCCTGTGGCCTGCGGGGACTTCCGTGGAGGTGTCTTTGGGCTCCCCTGGACAGGGACAGCAGGTTCGTGTAACCAAAGAGTAAGGGAAGAGTAAAGGTGCAGGAATCTGATTCCTCTTCTAGGTTTTTGGCAAACTCCTAAAAGCAGGACTCCTATAGAGATCCCAGAGGCAATACACTGGGAATTGAGTGCCACCCCCCAGCTATTATTCTGTTTCTGGTCAGCCTGGATTTAGAATGAAGGAATATGAAATTTCTTGCCCAGAACAAAATCCATACATTTTGGACCCCGCTTTGCCTCAAAGTTCTGCTCAGACACTCATCCATGGCCTGTGGGCCCAGAGAGGTGACTGGACTTGGCTGTGTCGGATGAGCAAGGTCTTGCTCTCCCTGCCTTTCCCCTCTGACAGCGCTGGTGTTGAGAGGCTCACAGAGCAGTGGGAGGGCAGAGGGCGCCCCCAGCACCTACCTACTCGCAGGATGGAGAAGAAGAGCATCCAGAATAGGCCCAGGAGCGGAGCAAAGATGGCCTGGGAGACCGCAGCCATGTGGATCTGCTCATTCAGTTTGGTGGGTGCGTAGGAGTAGTACATGTTGTAGCGGTCTGTGATGTGCTTCATGCACAGGTAGAGCAGCCCTGGGCGCCAGAGATGGACCCAGTCAGTGACCACTTTCACAGTCGAGACCTGAGCTGCCCCATGGTCCCCACAGGCCCCTGAGACCAGGTTCAGGGCTGTGAGAGTAGCAAGAGCCAAGGGCAGGCTGTGAGAGCCCTGTGGTGCTGATCTCTGGGGCCAGCAGCTTCCCCTGAGCCCCCAGGACCTAGCCTGGCAACTCTGAAAAATCACTCGCTCGTGCATTCATTTAACAAACATCCAGTTTCAGTAGCGGTCCAACCTCAGTACGCTGGTCCTGCCCCTGCCCCAACACCTCCCTGCCACAGGCTGTCCAGGTCACTTCTTGCTCTAGGAGGCGGCATGGTGCTGTGGGACTCCATTCCTCCTCCCAGGCTGAGTGAGACACCCCAGGTGCGCCTGAGAGATGACTCACCAAAAGGGACAATGATGGGACAGGTGATGCTATACGCCATGACCACGGTGAAGACATTCATCATCCACGCGTACTCACGCCCAAACTGGAATTCTATGGCCTGGTTCTGGGGCAGAAGGCAGCAGTCACCGGAGGTTGCCCAGCTGGGTGGTTGCAGCTCCCCCTGGGAGCTGCAGTAAAGGCCTGGAGGCAGCCTCCCTTCACCCTGGAGTCCATAACGCACGTGCTCAGGGAAGGGCCCGCCTCACCTTCCTGATGTGGGCTCTCTCTGGCTCTGATCGGGAAAAGAAGAGGCGGGTACTGTACATGAAGAGCGAGCCCAGGCGCATGAGCTCCATGCCCGTGCCCAGCAAAGCTGCGGTGATCACATAGTTGACGAAGAAGGCGCCGTTGTCTGGCAGGAAGACACACCTGGGAGAGTGGAAGACAGTGACAAGCCGGGGGCAGAAAAAAGGGGAGACATTGGAAGGAAGAGAGAGAAAGAGAAAAACAGCAGAGGGAGTGGGGGTCACATGTGAGGATAAAGTTTTATCTACAGTTGTGCCACATAACCGACATGCCAGTCGATGGGCCACATGTACGATGGTGTTCCCATGAAACTGTCTCCCCTAGTGAGGCTGTAGCCACATTAGTTTGCGTATGTACACTCTGTTATGTTTTCACAACAACAAAAGCACATATTGAGGCAGTTCCTAGAGGGTTCCCTTTTATAAAGTGATGCATGACTCAGTGTGCTTGTGCGCGTGTGTGCGCGGGCGTGCACACATGTGCGTGTCCTCAACCCAATTTAAGTTAACAAGCAGTTCTCCTGAGCAGAGATCCAGATGGCGTGGGTGTACTGGGAGACATGTGCATGGCTTACTCCAAAACAAGGGTGTCTGACCTCAATTCTGAAGGTCTAAGGCCTTAAATGGGAAAATTTACATTTTATTTTCACCGATCTGTAGTTAAAATTTACTTTTTCTTTCAATTAAGAGTCTCGGCAACTGCTGGGTGGGCTGGCACATGCCACCTACTCGGGAGACCGAGAAGCACGAGGATCACAAGTATGAGCCCAGCTTGAGCAACTTGGGGAGACTGTGTCTCAAAATAAAGTGTGTGTGTGTGTGTGTGTGTGTGTGTGTGTGTGTGTGTGTGAGGGAGAGAGAGAGGAGGAGACAGCTGGGGATGTAGTTCAGCATTCCCCGGATTCAATGCCCAGTACTACCAAAAAAAGAAAAAACTTTTAAAAAGTAACACATTGTGGCATGCTAGCCATTGTAACTTTATCACCAGTTGAAGTCACATTATAGTCACTGTGACAGCTTATATATGTCACTTGTGCTCATTAGCTTTTCAGTGGTGCCTGTCACCATTTAAAAATGATGGCAGGAGGGGCAGGGGATTTAGCTCAGCGGCACAGTGCCTGCCTGGCAAGTGCAAGGTCGTGAGTTTGATTCCTGGTACCAGAAACAAACAAACAAACAAACAAAAAAGTGATGGCAGAAATGATACATGCTGCTAAATTACACACAATTAAAGTTCTGTCTACAGACATGTGCCTGACATAGCTGGACAGCTTCCTCCGGGGGTAATTCATTCACCTGGCGTTCATTCATCTCAGTGTTGTCTTTAATGCACAAAGCACATGGACTGCAAAGGGAATCAATCACACTGGAATATAGCCGTCAAAGTATTTTAAAATTCGGTGACCCAAGCATCTCTGTTGCTTCCTGGTATCCCCATTTATACAACTATTAACTTCCTTAAAAACAGGCAACTGAGCCCAGGAAGACATTTCAGAACTCCTTAAAAAAAAAAACCACTGTTTCTTGATGAGGAACCCAAAATAAAAATAAAGAGCAAAGTAAAAGCTTGATAATAGGAAGTAGGGAGATCGACCTTTCTCAAATGAGAGGGGGCCAAGAGATGGGGAGAGAAGTGGGAGGGAAGGGAAGGGGACGGAAAAAGACTAAAGATGTATTCTGTCCACGTACCCATCCCCACAAAGTATTCTATCATCAGGCTCTGAAAACGTGTGCTAGTAGAAAAAGAAGTGATTGTGTTTTGATAACCTCCAAGTGGAATCATGAACTCACAAAGCTTTTCTTTCTTACATATGTACAGTGTTGGAGGTACCTGCCTAGCCAAAGATGAATGTATTCATTTTACAAAAAAAAAAAAACCCTTATTACAGTAATAAATAGTTTAACTGTAAAAACGTCTGAGAATTCTGGCTCTTGGATTATAAAGCAAGCTATGGAAGCATCATATCATTTACAACCTATCTTTGAAAACTGGGATTTTCAACACTTGTCACCATAAAAAGAAAAAATCAAAATTATCTTAATGTTAAACATAACCCACATGTTCTTTCCAAAGATTCTCTTCCCTCCATAATTTAATGTCTTATTCCAGTAAAGTCAGCTTTCACAGAGATGTCTCTAAAACAATAAAATATAACTAATTTGCCTGTATTTAAAATGGCTTTGTTATTGATGGCTAATATTGTCTCACAACTTTTATTGTAAAAATATTTTGATAACTATATTTTAGTATAATTGGTTTTCTTTGCAATGTTGTATTTTGTGCACTTAAATATTGCATTAAGACTACAGGTTAATCAACTTATTTTTTTGGTACTGGGAATTGAACTTGGGGCCTCGTGCTTGCCAGGCAGGCGCTGTGCTGCTGAGCTACACCCCCGGCCCCAGACTACATGTAGATCTGGATAAATCTGAATAAGCTCTCTAGGTTACACCAGTGTCAGTTCCTGGTTTTTATATTGTATTATACATGGTGGCACAAAATGTTACCACTGGAGAAAACTGGATGAGAGCACACGGTGCTATGATTTCACAACATCATTCCAAGGAGTCCCTGGGCCAAAGGAGTCTCCAGCAAAAGTAATGAGAGCATTCGACATACACCTCTGTGAGCGGTGCAGGTGCTGGACTCGGGAAAGGTGCACAAATCCACCCCAGTGTGGATACCCAGAGACCCTGGTGTACATGCGGGAGTACTCACTGGAACCTGATGGTCGCCTGCTCTAGATAGTAGATGTCAAAGAGCCAGCGTAAAAAGACGTCCAAACTAGAAGCAAGAACAAGGCCAGCCCTTTAGTTAATGAAATGTGAGTCAAGGCCTAGGGTTCATTTCCTCTTTGCCTGGCTTCCTCCCCTTCAGTCCTCTCTCGCTCAAATCCGAAAGAGCCAAGCTTGATTCTAACAGGCCCACCCACACTGCCCCTCCTCTTTCTCCCTGCTGGCCACTTGTGCACCTGACCCTTCGGCCTTCTGGCGCAAGGCCACCTTCCTCAGCAAACCTTTATCAGCCATTTCTCCCACAGGGCTTTCTCCCTTTTCTGAGTTTCTACTGAATCTTGGCTGTCCCCGTGCCCCTCAGACTGTCAGCCAGCTCGGGCAGAGTTCATAGTCCATACAGAGTCTGCACACCAGCTGCCTCAGGCTGCACCATGACAGGCACAGGACCGTCATTTGGGGAATGGATTTGCAGCAAGCACAGGAGGGCCTATGGAATTTGAAAGAGGATGTTTCAACTCTAGGGCGAGCCTGGCTGAGAGACACCTAGGATAAGTAGGAGTGAGGTACCTGGTCAGCCCCATGGAAGGCAGAATGACTACCATGAACACGAGAAAGATGTAGCACTTGTGCACTATGATCAGATTCTGACTGGATCTGGAAGGAAATGGTGAGAGGAGGTTATCAGGGGGTGAGACAGGGCGGGAAGCAAGCTGTGCCGGGAAAGTGGCTCAGTGGAGCGTACCAGTGCCCTCTCCACGGGGCGCTGCAAGCTGTGCTGTATCTGGGAGCAGCAGGAGAGAACAGCGTCACCAGCTAGTGACGGCTGCCCTGGGCACAGGATAGGGAGGAAGGGCACACATATGCCATATATTGGACATTGCTCTATCAAAGAGAGATTACCAGTGATACACGGAATCCCTAAAGAATCTCAGTAATCAATACACGCCTTGCTCTTGGCCAGGGGAAAGGCCAGTGAGGATTTCTGATAGGACAGCCCTATCAGAAATGGTAGAGGATTTCTGATAGGACAGCCCTATCAGAAATAGTGGTAGAATGGTAGGAACTTTTGGTGCAGGAAATGACTTTCGAGACCCATGCAGCCTTCACACCAAAGCAGAACCATTGCCTGGGATATGGAAAGTACTCTCTACCCTCTTAGCTGCCACCGCAGTAGCATCATGGACACAGAATGAAAAATCTCATTGGCACACTGTGTGCTGACAGTTTGCATTTGTAGCTCCTGCGCTCTGGCCATAGCTGCTTACCCTGCCCCCTGCAAGCATGTCCTTTTATCTGTGCGCACTTTCTGGAACTCCTGGCACTGCCTAGCCCATGCCTACAGCTCCAGGCTATCAGTAGATAGCTGGGGGCTGAAGGAGCAGCCCAAGAAGGGCCTGATTTTGGTCCCACCCCCTTTAGGTTAGAGCCATGATCAGTATCTGCAAGGCTAGATCCTGGAAACAACCCAGCACTTTCCAAAATCAAACCACCTGCTGGTCTTTGGGGAATGGGTTCAGGTATCAAAAGAATCCCAGAGCAGTTATAATCTTTAGGCCAGATGGAGGCCCAAGTGCCAGGCTGGTAGGGGATAGGAACGGGGGCAGGGCTGGGGGAAAGAGCAGGGCTGGGGAGAAGGGCCCCAGCTCACCTGGTCCAATGGGCCTCGACGAAGGCAGAGAAGAAGACTATCAGAGGCAAGATCACTGTGAAGGCCCACAGCAGCAGGGAGGGGAAGAACTGGGTCACGATTGGGCTCTGCAGGGGCAGACGGGGGTGCAGGGCAGGAAAGACATCAGTGCAAGAGGCCCCTTCCTCTGGCAGCCCACCCTGGCTTCTCCCCTACCCCTGCCTCTCCAAGGGCAGCCCAGACTGAGCAGGCCTGCTGCTCCTGAGGCTGTGGAGTGGGCCTGGACTTTTCCGGGTGCCTTCCTGGCCAGGAGTCCACTTGGCTGGAGAGAGGAAGAGGCTGACACCCTAAGGTCAAGTGGAGTTCCCAAAGGATGAGGCCTTCTATGCCATGGTCACTGGAAAGGCAGCCTGAGCTTTCCTTGGTGACTTCACTCTTAACAGCAGAGCCAGCTGCTGTCACTGACATGTCACACGGCTTAGGGAGACAACACTGACACTGCATGGGGAAGTGGGGGTGCAGCAAGGGTGTGGAGAGAGGAATCCCCAGGGATGGCAGCTGCCCCCAGTGAGCATGTGACCTGGGGCCTATTGTGTGTGTTTTGCTGGAAAGAGAGAAAGGGCAATGTAGAAGGAGGCGCCTTCTAGCTCCTGAGAACAGCACTAAGGCTGCAGGAGCAGAAGTGGACCAGGCAGTGGGGAAGTGCCTGTCAGGAGTGTCCTCTAACCTCAGGGATGGCTCCTACTCCTGTAGACTGGGAGTGCAGGTGTCTGGAGGTTAGGGAGGTAGAGACAGATCCAAAGGTCCCACCTCTCCAAGGGCTCTGCTAGCACTGACCTCACTCTCCCTTACCCTCAATCATATCAGGATAGTTGAGCCCTAGAAAACTTGGGGAGAACAGAGATGTTCACAGCTGCCTTGCCCTCTGAACCTCCACCTGGTCCTACATGACCTGATCCAATGGAGCCCTCTAAGCCCACGCTGACTGGACCACCCATCCCCCAACCTCACCCCAGGACCTGCCTGCTGCTCCTCCGCTCTCCCTTTCCTCTCCAGTCCCTGTCTCTAAGATGGGCAGTGACCCACATTCATCCCACTCAGCACACAGGAACCTCTACTGCACTGACACAGCTCCACCTCCGCCATGTTGGCACTATATGGGCTTCCCCATCCCGTCCTCGCCTGGGTTCTTCCTTGATCTGCCTGGGGCCCCCAGGCCTGGCCTGAGCAGAGGAGGCACCTGCAGCTTCTCGATGGGGCGGGTGACATTGTACATGTCGATGGTGTTGATGATGATGGCAGGCGTGGTGAGAAAGAAGAAGAGGAAGAAGAGGAAGGTGTTGATCGCAATAAAGCGGACCCACCAATTGAAGCGGCGGATGGACAGGTGTTTCCTGAGGAGAGAGGCGCAGTTAGAGCTCTGGATCCAGCCCTCAGCAAGAGCACTTGTGCTCTTTCCTGCACGCCAGCTGTGGATCCCGGCTTCCCTGGTCTAATGGACCCAGACCTTCGTGCCACAGCCCCAGGTCTCCCCCTCAGTCACCATTTGTAAAGGCTTGGAACATATCTCACGGATGAACAAAAGATGGATCTGAGCTCTTTCTGCAGGACAGACATTTCCCCCAAGGGCTGGGTGCATTCCAGGCTTGGGGTGAATGTGGGGGTTGCAGAGGCTATGACCTTCTGGAAGTACATGGCACAGCCAGTGGGGGTGTATTTGGGCAACACTGGACCTCCCTGTGGGGCAATAAGGTGGGGAGAGTGAGCCTGTCCTGTTGTGTTTTTCAGCCTCAGAGGACAGCTCAGAGGAGAGGGGAGGGGCAGAAGAGGCTTACCAAATAATGTCTTTTGGATGCGGGGCCTGAACGACCCTCCAGTAGTAGGATTTGACGACAGTGGTCACTGAGGACTGCTGGGGGGGCATGCCACAATGGATGTACTTGTAATCCTCCTGGACGCTGCAGAGATGGGAGACAGGGAGGAGACAGAGGTCTGGGGGTGGGAGGAAGGGCCTTGAAGTGTCCCAGGGCCCCAGGGCCACTGTGGACAGCTCTGAAGGCCCCAAAGTTAGAGGGAAGGGACAGTTGAGGGTGCCTGGACTGTCTAGTAGGGGACAGCCATGTTCTTAGATCTGGCCTTCCTGCTATCAGCAGGGGCATCAGAGATGTGCTATTCCTTTGAGTTTGACAGGAAGGTATTAATTTAGCCTCATTTTACTATCAATAGCTCCTGGTTATTGAGTTCTTCCTGTGTGCCTGACACTGTACTCACTGGTGATTAATAGAATCTCAGTTGCAGATTCCTAAATTGAGGTACCTTGAGATGCAACTGAAGAGGGTGGTGCTAGTACTGGAGCCCTGTCTTTGACTGTCTAACTCAGATTCTGCTATAATTAGGCCTCAGGTCTTCTCTACCAAGTGGTGACATCTCAGGAAATGAACAGGATTATGTTATGTAGGCAAAAGGCTTTATATAACACACACATTGAATAGATTATGTATATCCCTTGTCTGGGAGTTGAACAGAGAAAATATTGGGAACAATACTGCACAGATAAAAACATTTGAGATTATAAAGGACTTGTAAAATTGTGTACCCTAAAATCTAGGATGTTCCACTATTCTTATACAGAGTGTGGGGTGGATGAGGACACAGTGCTATGCATTATCAGGTTCCCATCAAGACAGGAGGCCCCAACAATCCTTTGGTGACTAATCCTGCAGCTCCCATCTATTTAGTCCAGGCCTAAGGATCCCTCTGGAGCATTCAGATTGGACCTAATTCATTCTTTGTTGAGATGAGGCTGCCAGAGGCTGGGACAGAAGAGGAAGAGGCCGTAGGGCTATGAATTAGGGGGGCCTACAACAGAAGAGAAGGAAGGGCAAGTAGGGCTTATCTCTCCTGACTTTCTCACTTGTGGCAAGGAGAGGGAATGATGTGTTTGGAATAAGGGAGAAATGACTATCATTCTTAGCAAGACCTGGAAGAGAAGCCAAGAGGTCAAAGGCTACACTGACCACCTCTGTACTGAAGCAAGAACACGTAGAGTGAGAGCTCAGGGCCTGGGCAGAGAAGCTGTGGGACACAAGCTCAGCCCTGGCAGCTGAGAAAACAGGTATGGCCATGCTCTGGGAAGCAAGATGGCGCTGCCCGGGAAGAGCAGGGAGGAGCGAAGAACAGGAAGCTAGAGGAAGGCTCTGTCTCCTCACCTAGGCGGGAAGGGGGTCGGAGAGGATGGAGGTAGAGATGCAGAGGCCCACCCTTGGGGCTGGGAGGGGGCCGCAAGCCACTGGCACAGTGCTCACCGCTGCGCCATCCTGGAGTCCTGGAAGGTGACAAAGATCAGGTCGAGACGCTTCAGCTGCACACGGTTGAGCTCGGCATTGAACTCATCAGTCAGCTGCTCCTCCAGCTCACTGTAATACTGCTCTGCATCTACCTGGGGCAAGAGGCGGCCCTCAGAGCCAGAGGCCAGAGTCCCAGAAGAGCTCTGCTGGACTTGGGGACCTTTCCAATCAGTAGTATGGAAGGGGGGCTGGCCTTGAAGCCACCTCTAGAACAGCCGAAGGCTGACTCTGCCCTTGGATCTGGGGGTAGTGAAGCATAGCAAGGATGGGGTAGGGGGGCAGTTTCAGACCTGGGTAAACCCCACAGAGAAGAGAACGCACAGCTTTGTCAAAAGGGGGGCAATTCTTTTTCCGGTGTGGTTGGAGTCCAGTCCTGCTCTGAAGTCTAAGTCCTAAAACCCCTTCTTATCCCCCAGGGGTTGGGGGATAAGGTGGACCTGTTGCCTTGTCCTATGTCTTTGGGAGTCTGAGGAACACAGGAAGCCGACTGTGTTTCCTCTGGCCCTTCTGTCCCCGGAGCTGGCTCCAAGCAAGACTTGAGCTCCTCTACAGGCTCCGCAGGAGGTGGGGCCTGGTGGAAAGGGAGGAAGGAGCCTGTGCTCAAGCACTGGGGTGGACTGCAACGGGGCCTGGGGCTCTGGGATGTGGGGAAGGATGGACCCCAAAGCCCAGGACTCCCCGCTCTGCCATGCCCACACCTCTGCTGGTTACCTCCTTGAAACAGGTCCAGCACTTGCAGAAGCACAGGCGGGAGCAGGGGTGAATCCTGATCATCACTTTCCCAGTCTTCTTGGCCTTGGCGGTGTAGTAGAGTCGGCCTCGCATGGCATGGCGCCTGTCAGCACAGGCAGTGAGGGAGGATCTCTGGATCAGGGACCAGCAGAGCCCTCCCCTTCTTCTTGCACCCCCACCCCATATCCCGACAGGCCCCACAGAGGCCTCACCTCTGATCGTCCAAGTCGATCAGGTTCCTGACATCATAGCAGAAGTGGACTCTGGTCACAACGCACCCTGGATAGGCCTCGCTGCAGCCAGACACAGATGCTGAGCCCGTGGGGCTGGGGGTGTGCTGCCCACCCCTTCCCAGCGTGACAGCCCATGGAGATGGTGGTTTGGCTGCCTGGGCTGCCTTGGAACTCGCTCTGAAGGCTGAACTACCTTCAGGGTCTGGACCCTGGTGATCTGAGTTGCTGCATCCTTCCTAGATGACTGAGAATGAGGCCTAGGAAGAGTTCTGACCAGTGGGGAACCCAGGAAAGAGCTGCTTGCAGAGAGATAATAAGCTCAGTGGGCAGTGTCCTTCAGGCCAGGAACCTGAGGTCACTGAAGAGGCCTCAGGATGCTGGGCCCTAGACAGCCATGGTGTGGGGGCTCCCGGGGCTCAGAAGCTGGAACCTCACACCCCTGCTATGCAGGAAGTCCCTGAATCCAGAAACCTGCTCCAGCCCCAGTGGCCCTCCCTATTCTGAAAATCCAGTACTGAGTTCAGTCCAGGGAGGACCACCACCAGGGGTGTCCCTAGTCCCACCGCCCTCGGTCAGTTCAAACCCGCATGAGGGCCAGCTGTGGTTACTGGGTCAAGGGGATGCACACCTTGGCCTGCCTGCCTCACTTACTGGAAATGCTTGATGATCATCTCTGGGTCCTCGATGTCTGTGGGCACATAGGTGATCATTAGTGTCCTTGTGACCTAGGTGGGGAGGGGAGATGGTGAAAGAAGGCTGTGCTTCTCTGAGCAGGAACTCGCCATTTCTTGGTGGCCCAGACCCCTGGGGAGCCTTCTGCTTGACACCCGGGGCCTTCCTGCTGCGTAAGTCCCAAGCCAGCCTCCCCAGCCTTTTTTGTCCCAGCTGAACCTGCAGCCCTGGGGTCAGCAAACTGTGCCTTTCCTATTCTCTGTGTTCCAGCTGTTGGGCCCTGACACAGACAGCTGTCAAGGGAGGAAAAGCCAGAGGCTGCAGACAGGGCCAGGTGGAGGACCACAGGTCATGGTAGAGAACAGCTGCCCACACCCTTCCTGCAGATGATGCTCCCACAGGGATTTCCGGTCTCCCTGCCCTTCTAGGATAAAGCCCTGTGTTGTCAGGGAAACCCTTAACATCAACTGGCTCAGGGGAGCTGGGGTGAGTGATGCTAAGGTTTAGACCTGGAATGTCTCCTGAAGGCCCATGGTTCAAGCTTGGTGCTACTGAGAACTCATGAAAACCTTTAAGAGGTGGACCTCATAGGAGACACACCAGGTGCCTGGAGGTGTGTCTCAAAGGGGACAGTGGGATCCTGGCCCCTTCTCTTCCTCTCTCTTTTTGCTTCCCAGCTGCCACGAGGTGAGCAACCTCCCCTGCTATGATGCCCTGCTTGCAACAGGTGTGAACTGTGAGCCAAAATAAATCTTTCCTCTTTTTAAGTTGATTATCTAAGGTATTTTGTTACAGTAATAAAAAACTAACACAATAAGACTCTGGAGGGAGACTGAGAAATCCTCTAACTTCCTATTTTATTCTCTGGGTAGGAAACATTTTTCTGAGCCATCACCTTCACGATTGCCACGTCTGGTAAACTGTGCTGCAAGAGATGAGGGTCTTGGAGAAGCATTTGATGACAATAAGAAAAGCTGAAGCAGTTGAGACTGGACTGGCCAGGAGGGCCCCAGCCTCCATGCTTGCCAGGCTGAAGCAGTTGGGGTGACATTTCAAGGAGTGTGGTTTTGCTCACTAGGGTCTGTTAAAGTGACTCAGTCCCTCAGGAAGTTCGAAAACGCAGACCCCACTTTACTAAAACCATGGCAGGTTGAATGCAGAGCCCCAGATGAGCATCTCCATGTTTCTCTTCCTGCAGATCACGGGCCCCAGGGAGGCCCCTGCCCTGTACTAAGCCCTGGTCTGGGCAGGTGGCACTGCCATTGTCCACCCACGGCCCCTTAACCTTCACTTCTGCACACAACAGGCTGTGACATACCTCAAACATGGGATTGCCCGAGGGCTGTTTCCTGGCTTTGGAATTGTGTTCAGCTTATATCCAGGGCAGGAAGGAAAGAGTTAAAGTCCCCAAACACAGCTTTCAACCAATGGACAGCAAGTTTGGGAAAAATATCCTTATCACTCCCCTCTGGGCTAGGAGCATTCTAGAGTGCATGTTCTACACCAGGTCCTGGAGTCCCCAGAGAGTCTGCCCCTGCCGCCACCCTGCCCAGCTGCCCAGCGACACGCCCTTTTGTACTGGTTGCCTTCTCTTGTCCACATCCCCACTCCCGGCTCACCTTTCCTGAGATCCCTCCCGAATACAGAGTGCTACTCAAGCCCTGGCCTCAGGGTCTGTCTGGGAGGACAAGGGGTCTCCCAGACACACATGGCAGGGATACACCAGGGGCCGGACAAGGACGAGAGACTGCAGAAAGGATGAGAAGTAGCTGGCAGCAGCTATTTGCTAACCAGGGTGAAGCTGCAATGACACGAGTGCAGAGGGAGGCAGATTGCAGGGGTGTGAGCAGGTGACCATGCAAGGACTAAGAGGAGGGGCCTGCTCCGGTGCAGGTGAGACTGCCTGGGGTGCAGGGCTGGGGCTTCTCTGAGGCTGGGGCGATGGACCAGCTGGGGAGGGGGCTATTCATGCACTCACCTTTTGGCTCTTTTTGGGCACAAACCCCAAGCAGTGATGGGCCATGAGGACGAAGTTGGTGAGGAAGTACAGGAATGCGAAGAGGCTGTGCACCCACAGGAGCTTACTCCTGCCAGGGCAGAGCAGAGGCAGGCGGTGCTGTGGGTTCCAGAGGCCGTGGGGTGACCTGCGACCCCTCCACCACACGGTGTCCCTGGAATCCTTCCTCCCACGTGGTGTCCTTGGGCCTCCTCTGCCACCATACTGTCCCCAGGCCACCCTCTTAGAGACCCACCTCTCGGGCATCCTGACGGGGCTGGGAGTGTTGTGCAGAGGGTCTGGCCCCTACTAATGACTAATACTTATTGCGTGCTTACTGTGGACCAGATCTGGGATGGAAGTAAATTCTTTTCCTTCTTTGAGTGAATGCTTTCTTTCCTTTCTTTCTTCTCTCCCTCTCTTTTCCTCATTTCTTTTTTACACTGGGGATTGAATCCAAGGCCTTCTGTACCTAGTCCCTCTATTTTTATTTTTATATTTGAGACAAGGTCTCACTAAATTGCTAAGTTGCCAGGGGTAGGTTCAAATTAGCAGTTCCCCTGCCTCAACCTCTCAGAGTGCTGGGATTACAGGCATGCACTACCACACTTGGCTGGGACTCAGTCTTTAGGTCTTTTTTTCACTAGACTTCCAGAGCCGTGCAGGGTGGTTCCATGATTATCTTCAATTTACCTGGGGCTGGGGATTTAGCTCAGCGGCAAAGCGCCTGCCTGGCAAGCGCAAGGTCGTGAGTTCGGTTCCCGGTACCAGAGAAAAACCAAAAAAAAGGAAAGGAGGACCCCAGGTGACCTGCCCCAGGTGACCTGCCCCAGGTCATTCACAGGAGTGACAGTGCTAGAAGGGAGACCCAGAGCTGCTGCGGTACCCAGCTACTTCACCCCACAACAGCCAAGAAGGCCAAGTGAGGAGGGCCGGGCCCCACGTGGGCACAGGGGGAGAGGGGCCAGGAGGCACCCGGGCTAAGTTGCCATCCCTGCTTGCAGCCCATGAGATGCTGTCCCGGGGCCTCTGGCCAGAATGACTGTCAGGAAGTGGGCCCCACCCTATGTCATGCGACACGAGGAGAAAAGGGCTGTTTTGCTTTAAGACACCTCTGCTCCCTGTCCCAGTGCCTGGCCTTCACACACCTCACCCTAGCTAGGCAGATGCCTGGCAGCAGTCTCTGCAGAGGGGCAAGGGTCCATGGTTGCCAGGGAACTTTCCAGCCTTGGCTGGTACGGAGTCACGCATGCGGAGCTCTTCACAGCGCCTTCGGAGTTCACTTATTAGGAAGGCGCCAGCCAGCACCTCGGAATGCCTTAGGGAAGAGGCCGGGAGCTCTGCTCTGGGTGGTAGCGCTGGGGAAAGAGCGCTCAAAGGAGAGAGAGAGGATGCCGCACCCATCTGTGATTTGAGAGTTTGGGCTAAGCAGTCTGCAGGCAGGGTGAGGGGTGACAAAGCAGGAGCCCGTGAACCCTGCCCACACCTGCAGCTTCGTCAGAGGGCACCAAGGCTGGGCATGACTCCTTGTTCGCCCCAAAGTGGATGGCAGGGCTGTATTTGACTTAGAGCAGGTTGACCTGGCCACCAGTCAGGCCGGTCAGTGTTGAAACCCACAGGTTGCTGGGCTGTGAGCCGGATGGGCAGGATCGAAGCCCAGAGGTGAAGGGCGCATTGCCCCCGGTCCAGGGCCAGTGGCTGGCAGAAGTGGGGCGTGAACCTGTCATACAATTCCTCCTAAACTCTCTGTGGTAGGAATAGTGGCGGGGCAGAGGGGGCTGGGAGAGTCACAAGTCACTAATGACACAAGGGCTGACCATGCTGCCTGCGAGGTAATTCCCTGCAGCTCTCCTTGGTACAGCGTCTCTGGCTCTTCGGAGCTGTCTATACTAAGGAACTGGACCGTTTCTCCAGTCCTCAGGAGTGGCCAATCTGGATAGCTGCTCTCATGACGGAGGGGGAGACACAGGCACCAAGGGTCCTTTCCACCAAAAAAAAAAGGCAATTTCTAGCATGCTCTCAGGACCTAGACTCCCAGGGAGACCAGCCGTCTCATCAGCACTGGTGCCCAGGCTGTGCACTGACACAGTGGACCTTCTTTCCCCACCAGTGTCCAGCCAGTAGAACGGGAGGTAAGAAGGTCAGGTACCTACTCTGTGGAGACATTGACGATGGTGGTCCGACCAAAGTGGCTATTCCTGTCTGCAAAAGAAGAAAGGTGAGACTGTGAGAGGTTCCTTGGTGGCTGGGGTGCGGGGTGCGCAGAACTGAAGGCTCCTGAATAAACAGATGCCCAGGGTCTACAGACACCTGCTACAAGCTGCTCTTCCTTCTGGCTCCCCAGAACTTGTCCCCAGATTCCAACAACATCATCCTCCTGGTGCTGCTGACGGGGCTCTCGGGCACAAAGCAAGACCACGCGTTCACAGGTTATCCCCAGGGCAGATGGCGCTCAGCAGACACCCAGTAAACCCTGGCTAGAGGGACCGGCTGTCCGGCCGTGGGTAGGAAGATGAGACTAGCAACACCAGTAACCACCACAGCAAGAACCCAGAACTCCAGAAAATGGGACACTGCCTCATTCAAACAGAGTACATCCTTCGGACTAAGGATATTATGTTGCTCCTGACAACTCCAGGTTTCGTGAGATGTGTCTACAATCCTGCATCACATCATCATGGCTCACACACTAGCTCTTGGGATGAGAATCTGGATGGACAGGAGTCGGAAGTTATTAACCCTGGTGGTGGAATAGGGTGGCCCCGATGATATACTACACTGAATTCAGTAAGGTCCACGTCAGGCCGAGGAGGAACAGGCAGAAACCTGAGGAATCTAGAGCCGTTGCCACCTGCACAGCGAAGGTGCTACTGCCCACTGGCTGGTTGTTCAGCCCTCCTGCAGCTCTGTTGGTCCTGTAATTCCAGGTGGAATACTGCTGCTGGTCTCTGAGCTCTGTGTGTCAGGCACCATGCTAGGCACGAGTCATTATCTCCTAGTGCCCCAGACAGCGAGGAAACTGAAGCTTGGAGAGGCTGACTTGCCAATATAGTTAATTAATTTGTTGGCTTGGGCAAAGACATTTTCTGGGGAGCAGATGTGGGAAAAATTATGCAGCCAAGGTTTTTCTAACTTCAGAGCCAAGCCCTCAGCCACAGTGCTATTTTGTACAGAGGATGCACCCGTCACAGTGAGTTGGGTACAAGTCCTAGGAGTCTAATTTTGTGCTTACAGTGCTATGCCCACTGGCTGGGTACAGGGAGAAGTAGAGTTGGGAATCCTATGAACACCTGGCCAGGCGCAGGGTGGGGACACAAGTAAAGACTTAGTTCTAGACTGAAGTGATGCAATGTGGCTGCCACACACCAGGCTCAGGTTAAACAAATGAGGTGTCATCTCCAGACTCCAGGTGAGGGACCTGAAGCATGGATTATCTAGGTCACTCAACAGCTACTGTCCAGAGGAGGGATTAAAATCCAGATTTCCTGACTCCCAAGGCCCAAGGTCTGTCCCACCTATCAGTAGATCTTGGGTCTGGTAGTCTCTGCCTACCCAGAGCAGTTCCAGTGTAGTTGATGGGCAAAATGATGCCCAAGGAAGGGATGCAGAGGATGAGGACGTAGACGATGAAGTGATACTGGAACGTGATGTAGATGCGTGCGTCATCCCCACACTTGCTAATCAGATCCTGGTCCCTGGAAGAGACACAAACAAGCACAGTCCTCAGGAGCCAGCATGGCCACAGCTTGGGGTGGGCATAGAGGAGACAGAAGGAAGATGGCCACCCCACCCCTAGGATGGAAACCCTGTCCCTCCTCTCAAGGCCCCCGAAGTGCATGTCGGCAAGCTTCACAGATACACGGAGAAGGGAGGCCACGTTCTCTGTGCACACAGAGGAATCAGATGCGCTCTTGAAACTGGGCTGCGGTCACCCTCTCCTTACTTCCGCTAATACTCCGAGCACTTCCCAGGGAGCGGGCCCTGGGCAGAACACTACTAATATGGAGGTGCAAGTTCAAAAGTAGTTTATTTTAATTCCTTAAATTAAAATAACTAGGACACTTCTTGTTCACCTCTCCCTGAAACCTTGACTTCTGTGATATGCCCTTCACATCAGTCCTGTCTAAATTCCTCCCATCCGCCAAGACCCAGCTCAACACTACATTTTCCCTGAATGCCCCAGTTGGAATTCATTCTCTTTTTCCTGTGTGTCCTTTGTACAGCAAATTGTAACTCCCTCATTATAAATGGCACGGAAAGAGCCTTACTGGCCTTTGTTTCTCCAAAAAGCAAAAGAACAGGCCCGCTCAGGCCCCCAGTGCACATGGCCTCCAAGAAGCAGTGGGGCTGGACCCTAAAGCAGGTGTCACCAGAAGAGGGGCCTGAAGGACGGGCAGGGCAGGGCACATAAGAGCCGGGGATCACGCAGGTCTCCAAACACAGCAGGCTGAGGTGTGTGCATGTGTGTGTGCATGCACATGTGAGTGAGCGTGCACACGTGTACAGGCAGCGAAGAGGGAGACTTCTGCTAATGCTCAGCTCAGGTGCCTCGCCAATGTTGGTGAAGCAGGAGAAGGCAGTGCCTTGAGGCCTTCGTCCTTGCTGAGTGGAGTTTCCCACTACACAAAGCCTGAAGGTGACGGGGCCAGAGACCATTCCTCTGACACCCAGATGCAGGGAGAGAGGAGGTCCACCCTTCTGCCCTACGAGTTTGCTCCCTTGTGACAAGTATGGCGCATGATATGCACAATGTGCAAACAAGCAAACAGCCTGCAGGAAGGACTTTTTCTCTGGTGTGCAGTTCACAGACTTGAGTTTATATGCATGAGCGCCACGGTTCGGCTGTTACAGTGCTCTTTCCTCACACACTGTGGCAGGGTAGCCTGGCAATGGGCTATGTCCAGTTCCCATTCACCAGCTGGAACTCGGGGAAGCACCACCTGCCTGCATGGGTGAGGCAGGAGGTGAGGTGGGGTGGGGTACGGGGCTCTGGGCTGGCATCCCAGCAGGGGGCTGGTACTTCTCACAAGAGACTCCACCCGCCACAACTGCCCTGTCAGGCTCACCGAGCACAGGCACTTACTTCATGGTTAAGCTGTTTAAGAGCCAAGAACAGAAGCCCTGTGGAGAGAGGAGAGTAACTGTGAGAGCAGCCACAGCGACCAGCCGCCCTGTCCAGCTTTGAGGACCCACAGTTCAGGGGGCCAGGCAGCTGTGGCAGTGTTCAGGGGAGGCTAAGGCTCAGTGTGGAGTCAGGGGAGATGCTGAGGGAGACATCTCCCCGGAAGTGAGTGGATACCCCTGCCATCCCGATACAGGACATGGGTTTGGGAGGGGGAGTGGACACACTCTGCTCGCCTCTGCCCCCTCCGGCAGGGAGGACAGAGCCACAGGTTCCCCGGAGGCAGCTCGGCTGAAGAGACCAAATGACAGCAATCAACTCCCTGGACCTCTCCCAGCCCTCATCCTCCCCATCCTCACCAGGGGAGGGTGATGAATGACACCCCTGTCCTGACTTGCTCGGGCTACTGTGGTGAGACCCAGGCCCCACTGAGGCCCCCACCAGGCATACAGGCCATCTTCCGGCACTTTCTGTTCTAGCTGGATTTCTATCCTCTGTACTGTGTCATCATTTTTCTTCTTAGATTTTTAAAAATAAAATAATGTTTTTGTCACTGTAGAGGAAGCACGCAGACCACAGCTTGTGTCTGAAAGTGAGCCCGGGGTTCCACCTGGAGGTGTTGCCGTGTCTGCTCCACTGGGCCTCCAGCAGACCAATAACTTGTCTGAGGCATCACACTTGGGGCGGGGCAGAGCCAGGCCGGCAGAGGTGCTCTGCCTACTAATCTGCTGCTACAAATGTGTAGCAGAGGCCAATTATGTGAGAGCCGGGACGGGGGACTAGGACATGGACATGAGCATGTCAAGCTGTGCCCGCTCACACTGGTAGGAGACTGATCGTGCAGATGAGGGGTTAGGAGAGACAGGGCTCAAAGCGTTCAAGCAAAAGGATGTTTTTTGCCTGTGTTTGTAACAGAAGATGTGGATCAGGCCAGTTGCCAAGTCTCCCAGGTAATCAATGTCCCAGCTGAAGTCTGCATCAAGTGTGGAGATGACTCAGACGGGAGCACTGGGGAAGTGGGGACAGAGAAGAGCTTGGGGGAGGCCCTGTGGCTGGAAGGAGGTGGCACTGTTGAGGATTCCAAGGTGACCCGTGTGGCTGGGGGTGGGGGAGTTGAGTGGAGCGAAGCAGACTGGACAGGGGACAAGGGAGCAAAGCACCGGGCCATGGCAGGGCACCTACAGCTTGTTGCAGGGGCATTAGGAAGACACTGAAGGTTTGAACAGGGGAATCCGTGTCCTCACTTATGGGATGGCTCTGGATGCAAAATAGGTGGGGTGGGGCAAGCATGGTGCTATAGGGATGAGTTAGAGCTGCTTCAGTCATCAAAGCAAGAGACGATGGAGGCTGGGAGAGGGACTGGTAGGTGGGAAGGGAGAAACAAAACTGGGAGGGTAAAGGCAGCACAGCTTGGTACCGAGTGGGCCATGCTCTGGGGCTAACAGCAAGAGGGGAGGCAGGTGGGAAAGGTTTGAGACCAGGGACCTAGGGTGGGGGGCATGGAGGGTCCCAAGATGCGTCTGTGATATCCACGTGGAGCAATTCTGAAGACCCCTGCATAGCAGGGCTGCAGCCCAGAGACACGCTTAGCTGGACATAAGACACAGAAGGTAGCAGTGCGGTGTGGCAAATGAGTCCAGGACAGACAGTGGACAGTGAAGGTAGAGAGGCCTGGGCTCAGCTGGGGGGCTCAGGGTGTGGAGGAGGAGCCTGCAAAGAAAAAAATACCCCGGGGCACAATATCACGAAGCAATGGGGAGCGTCTGTTGGGGGCAGTTACGGTCAGATGTTTTTGAGAGGTGGATACGATGAAGCTGAAGAAAGCCCACTGGATTCGGTGGCAGGGACCACAGGCAGCTGTGGACTTCTGCTGGAGTGAGATGGATGAACGCCACATTCAAGGGGGCTGAGGATGAGGGCGAGGTGAGGAAGTGGGGACCGCAGAGCACAGACGCTGTCAGCCAGCTGTGGGGGGTGAGGGCCATGTGGGCGCTGTGATGGGCCACAGGAAGTCCTCTTCCCTTCCCTTCCTTGCATTCCAGTGCCCACGCAAATGTCAGCTGCTGTCCAAGGCCACCCCACCACTCCTATGATGCAGCACACTGTCCAGAGCCTCCTTGCCTTGTTTGTTTTTCCATCACACACTCATCGCCATCCCTAACGGATCGCGCTGGTCATCCCATGAGAGAGGAAGAAAGAACCACAGGCAGGACCCGGTCCACCGTGCGCGCTGCCTGGCCCAGGGCTGCCACGCAGCAGGTGCTCCAGCCACGTCTGGGCAGAGGGCCTGGAGCTCACAGGGAGGAGAAGGAAGCCAAGGGGGCTCTGTGGGGGGCCTGAGGGCCAGAATCTCCCACCTGGAATGGAAGGTGAGTCCTTGGCCCGAGGGAGGGGATGGGGTGCAGATCAGCCTGGGAACTGTTGGAAGGGTTGGAGATGTGAGAAAACTTCATTTAAAAAATCTAAGATAATTAGTTAAGACTTACTTGGCATCCCAGGAGGTAGACACGGTTAACGTCTGTCTCTCGGATGGGGAAATAAACCGTGCCTGGGAGGCTGAAGAATGTGCCCAAGGCCCCGGCGCCAGCAGTGGCAGAGCCTGGCTGACTGCAAGCCTCTGCCAAGCTCTGTTCTGTCCTGTGCCCACCACGACTGCCCGCCCAGGACCAGGGTTCCCCAGGGCCCCGGCCACTCCCAGCACTCACCTTGTCCCTGCGTTCCATCTCCAGGGAAATCTCCGAAGGAGATGACTTCTCGCTCTGCTCCCCATAGATCAGTGAGGTCAGGCTGCCAGCCAGGAAGGGTGGCAGGGGACAGAAAAGGAGAGATAGGGCTTCAGATATCTCTGCTGCTCCCCCTACATGCCCTGGGCTGAAGACTAGGGGTGGCTACTGCCCACAGCCTCAGCTCCTTTGCTGGACATGCAGCTCATGGTACAGATGGCATCGCCTCTGCTGCCAAGTGCCAGTGCATCTTTGGAGTCCAGTCTCTGAGACCCAAGAAAAATGTGGTCTCTTGCCCAGAGATGGCTGCCTTCCAAATGCCCTTCCTGCAGGGAGGGCAGAGAAGGGGCAGCAATGGGTGATGGGATCCACCTGCTCGAGACAACCTTGCTGCATCTCGGGCATGGGCACAGCCACACCCTGTCACAGCTCCGCCACCTGGCCCTGCCTCCTTACCTGTCATTGTGGATCAGCAGGCCCAGGCGCCCATAGTCCCAAGCGGCTTTCCGGAGGAAGGAGTAAATCAAAAGGACAAACTGCAAGCCAGAAAAAGCAACATGGATCAGAGAGTTCACCAATGCCTTCTCCTGGGTCACCCCTGCCTTTCCATAAGGAGGCCCCAGGAAGTCCCTGAAGTCCCCAGGGTGCGCCCCCACCACATGGTGAGGTCTGTCGGGAAGGTGCATCCCTTTGACTGCATTCCCAGCCCCAGCAGCTTCCTGGCACAGAGCGGGTGCTCAGAGCTTGCGAGTGAGGGAGCTGAAGTTGCGTAGGGTGATGAGAAGGTCTCTGGGAAACACTGCCAGGGGAAATGAAGGGACCCTAAGGGTCCTGGCCAGGTGGACTTTCGGGCAATAGTACATACAGGAGAACCTCAAAGACTCTACTTGCCCTCCAGCACCTTCTGCCCCAGGTCCACCCACCTGGGCCATCCCAGGAGCGACTGGCATTCAGTCATTTGCGTCACTGTGGCCAGTGCCCTTCTGGACAACTGCAGCCCCCCGCATATCTCTTGGGACAGTTCAGTAGCCCGCCCTGGCTGAGACCTCCTTGTATGTCACTGCAGCACCGGCACTCACCACCCACAAGACGATGTTGAGGAACAGCACGGTGGGGATGCCCCCGAAGGGCTGTCCCTGGAGGACGGTGTTCCGATTCTGGAAGCACTCGTCCACCGTGATGTTGAGTATCTCTGAGGCCTGGCCCTGTCTTCCTGGTGAGGCAGACATCCTGAAAGACTCCCTGGTGGGCAGAGGGGTCTCAAGTCAGGGTGAGGACCACTCCGCACTCCGCAGAACACAGAAGGCTGCTGGGGCACCGCGGGGTGAGCCTTGAGTGCATCCAGCAGGCTGGGCTGGGGCACATCGGACCTAGGGGCCAGGGCCGGGCTTGGAGCCGTCTTCAGAAGGCAGGACGGCCAGCCCATAAGATGGCACTGTGAGACAGCAGCTCCCTCAAACTCAGGACTGTGATGACAGATAGCTCAGATTCCCTGGGAGAGTTCTTATTTTATACAATTTGATCCCTTCTAAAACGAGTTGCAGGTAAGGGGATATAGTTCAGAGCGCCTACAGCACCTGCCTGGCAAGTGTGAGGCCCTGAGTTCGATTCCTGGTACCAAAAAAAGAGAAAAGAGTTGCAAAACGCACGTTCAAATGGGTCTTCCTATTGCTCTCCTGTGGAATTTTTCTTGTGTATAAATTGACAGATCTCTCAAAAAGGGAACAGCTCAGGTTGGAAGGCAGAACCAACCACTCTGTTCACACGACACCCATGCAAACAGGGCTCCCTGGTGATCACCCTGCATTCTTCAGCTCTCTGATCTTGTTTCTGGGAAAAGCAAGAGTTCCTGAGGATGCAAAGTGCCTGCCACTGAGCAGTGACTCAGTAAATGGCCCTGTCTCACCTCGCCCTGCAGCCAAGCAGACCAGCACCTGTCCTGGGACCTGAGCCCATTCAGTGAGGCTGGGCATCCTGGTGAGACTTAGATGCACAGCCACGGTCACGGGCATCAGTGTTTCTCAGGCATGGATAAGAATGGAAAGACTGCATGAAAACTGGAGGCTACTTGAGTGGATCTGCAAGGTTGCTGTGAACTCCCAGGAGCTTTCACCTTGGCTCCAGACCTCGAATTCCCCTAGTCTCTTCACTCCCATTCCAGAGAAGTAGGCCCGGGCACTCACTCAGACACGTGGTGAGCACCGCTTTGTGCCAGACTGAGGCTGGTGACAATCCGTGAACACTCCCTCGGGGGACTGCAGTGGGCAGCAGCGTGCAGGGAGGAGGTGAGGTCAGACCTGTGAGATGATGCCCAGTGAGGTCTCACTAAGTAGGTGACACTGAGTAGGCAGAGAAGGCGCAAAGCCCATAGGCACACGGAAGCCTGCTCCAAGCAGAGTTGAGGTCCCCATGCCAGTGGCCCAGTGTGGAGCGTGAGGCTGGGGAGTGAACAGTCCTTGAGGCGACACAGCAGGAGGACAGTGTGGTGATGGTTTGAGCCAGAGAGGGCCTGAAACGATTTAGTCTTAGAGGGGTCACTTTGCGGTAATAATGACAGCTACTATAATAAAAATGGGGAAAGGGGACCTAGAGACAGAGGGAGGGCAGTGGTGGGGAGCAGAAGGGAAGAAATAGAATGAAGATACGCTAAGTACATGTACTGACTCCCTCAGATGAATGTGGACTGCCGTACTGCAAGCGCATACTAAGAAAATACAGTTTTTTAAAAGGATCACCTTGATTGAAGAAGCAGAGAGTAGAAAGGGCTGTCAGGATGCCCACAGAGGTGCTGGCTGAGGGGCTGGACTGGCCGCAGTGGAGATGGGAGGAAGTGGCTGGACACTGGACACGGGCCAACAAGCTCTGCTAACAGACTAGACTGGGAATGTGAAAGCGACCGGAAGAAGAGTTCCTGTCATCAGACGGGAAAAGCAGGAGAGCGAGGACGGAACAAGAAGGCTCAGGTGGACACATAAGAAAGAGGCGGATGGACAGGCAGCTGTACAGGGAGTGTGCAGCTCAGGAGGGCGACCAGGACACACATGTAAGACAAAAGCCTCCAGAACACAGGTTTCTGTGGCAAAGGACCAGAGCACTGAAGGAGGGCGGTCAGGGAGAGAAAGAGAAGGGCTCGGGGTGGGAGCCAGTGGCCAGGAAGCAGTGGATGACGGCAGAACGTCTACTTGACACCCACTGGTCCAAGCCAGGGGTTGGAGTTGGGGGAGAAGAGCCTGGAAGCTGCACCTTAGAGAAGAAAGACATCTCTGCATCCCCACGCCAGGGTTCTTGGGAAGACAGTCTCCAGGGCAGGCCTAGGGGAGTTTCCCATTCCCGTTCCCAGTGAGAAGACGCTGGTATTCCTGTGCATCATGGGCTTTGAGTCGCTGGATCCCAGCTCTCACTCACTGGCCAGGCGACCTTGAGCAAGGTTTTAAGGTCTCCATGACTCACTGTACTCATCTATCAAAAGGGGGAGGTGACAGCCATTGATGCCCACTTCCCAGGGCTGGGTGACAGAGTTAAGACTTGTCAGTCACACAGAACAACATCTGGAGCACAGGAAGCAGCACAGAACACTGGAACACAAAGGGGTGTGGGGTCCCTGGGGATGCAGCACAGATGCTCTCTGGAGTTGGGGGGCTGGGCAGTGGGGATGGAGAAGGGCATGAGGATAAAAGAGTTAGAGAACGGGGAAGAGGAGGTGGCCCTTGGGATCACCCACAGCACAGGGATAAAGGGTATAAAGAGACGGTTCCAAAGGAAGAACATGAGAACTTCTCACATTCCTATCATGAGATTAGTGTCTAATGGGAACAGGGAGTCTCTTGCCTACCTTTTTAAGTCGCCCTGCTTTTTGCTTCCCTCTTGTTCTACCAGGGTTTCACTGTCTCTACCCCAGGTCGCTGATGAGCCGACTCACCAATGTTTGACTGAACATAGTGCATCTGAGCAGGAAGCCTGCCAGAGGGAGCATCACCGTACTGTACCAGCCATGGCGATGGTGGTGTTTTCTAGTTTGGGTGGAGCAGGCAGCTGAGGTCAGCTCTGGCAGGAAGTTACAGTTCTGCTGGCTCCCACGAGGGGGAGCCCGCACCACAGCAGGTGGTGATGGAAGCTGTCGGGAGGGGAAGCCTCAGGTTTTAAAGGCCCAGGGAGACTTCATACCTGAATCAGATTTCCAGAGAAGGCCAAATCAGGTCTGCAGGCTCCACTCAGCTACAGGGCAGCTGTGAAAGAACAAAGCAGTGGAAAGATCACAGACTTAGGGGTCCAGGACACCCTATCTGGAAGCTTCATTAGAGTCGTGTCCATCGTCCCCCCCCCCCTCGCGGTTTAGGCTCAGGTGCGCTCTTTATCATGTGTGCGCGTGTGCATGTGGGTGTGCCTGTGAGTGTGCGTGTGCACTGCAGCTTCTCCCAGTCTGCTGCTTGTCTTTTCTTCTTCTTGATGGTGCCGAATTTGGATGGCGTGCCCCCCGAGCTGAGATGTAAAGGTACAGGGGGAGCGCCGTGTGGTGGCAAGGGCGGGCAGAGGGAGCCATACGGGCAAAGACCCAGACTGAGCACAGCATTTGGGGAACACGAAACGAACAGTCATGCCTGGAGAGCAGGATGGATCGCTGGTCCCTCCACCCCCCACCCAACAGGAACTCTCTGCAGGGAGCTCGCACCTTTGGGGTTTGGGGAGAGGGTTGCTATTGGCCCAGGCTGCCGTGCTGCCTGGGAGGGCCCAGACTCTAAGACAGTGGGAGGCTGTCCACAGCAGGTTGGCTGGTGCATGGCTTCTGCTTAACCTGACTGCTGGCCTGCAGGGCAGAGGAGGGAAGGAGAGCAGAGGACCTCACCCTCTCACACCTCACCACCCTCCTCAGCAGTCTCAGTCAACAGGCAGACAATAAAGAGGGAGGCTGTTGCCATGGAAACTCAGAGCAGCTTTTCTCTGCACTTTGAGACCTGCTTTCTGAATGGAGAGCTAGTTCTGTTTTTGGTGGGGGAGGGTGCTGGGAATGGAACCTAGCGCTTCCCAAACACTAGGAAAGTGCTCTACCAATGAGTTACATCACTAGCTCTTCTTACTTTAAACAGGGTCTTGCTAGGCTTCCCACACTGGCCTAGAACTTGTAATCCTCCTGCCTCAGCCTCCCAAGTAGCTGGATTATAGGTGTGTGCCTGGAGGTAGCTCTTGGTGTGGAGGAGGGAGGTGGAAGCCCAGAAGTTGGCTCTTTGGAGACAGAAGCATGAGCACTGCAAAAGATGAAGCTTGAAACTTGAAGGGGCTACGGGAACCTACAGCAGGGGCACTGCCCTGGCTTGGAGCGGCGGGCAGCAGGAAATGTGTCTCTGTGGGCATCTATTTCACAGCACAGGACAAGGAGGCTGTAGGGTAGTGAGGAGAATGAGCTGTCTCCAGTCCGATCCACCTTGGCTAGCTGTGTGACCACGGGCAGTGACTTCACCTTTCCGAGCCTTAGATCCCAAGCACTGTGAAAATGAAGTCCAATCACTCACATAAAGCCCTTGGCACAATGCTCGGGAAATACACAAGTGTCCAGTGTTAGCCAGTGCCGCCATAACCGCCATCAGCTCATTTGTGAAATGGTGGTAAGGAGCCCAAACTGGACGGCCCCTGGTGCCTTCCTCCGATATTCTGGGGCAGGGAAGAGGAGAGACGTGGGGATAGGAAGGACTGTCTCCTGCCCCTCAAACTGCAGCCCCTGGGCAGTTTGCCTCTGTTCCCTCTGTGCATAAGAGACAAATGTCAGTCTTGCTTTGAGGCCAAGGAGGAGTGGGGAGATGGTGTGCACGCCAGTTCATCAGCCAGCGTTGCAGCACACGCCTGCAATCCCAGCACCTTTGGAGGCTGAGGTAGAGGGACCAAAAGTTGGAGCCCAGGCTGGGCAACTTAGTGACTCAGCAAGACCCTGTCTCAAAATATAAATAAATAGCTAAGAGCTACTGAGTACCCACGATGGACTAATGAGTTTCTGTTTATTCACTTGTTCATCTAATCCTCACATGTACCCCGGGGTACCAGAATTATCCCTTGATAAAAGGGAAAACTAAGGCACAGAGAAGTTAAACAGCTTGGCCAAGGTCATGGTGCAGAGCTGGCCCACAAACCCAGGGGGTTTCAGAACCTGCAGCCTCCGTCTCCTGGGCTTTCTCAGGCTCTGCAGGGCTGGCAGTGCCAGGCAAAGCAGAGGACAAGGATGACCTTGCATTAGCTCTAGTCCAGGGATAACGCCCTCTTGGCCTTTCAGAGTGACACACTGGAAGCGGGGACGAGGCCAGGGAGATGCTGCCTGCATCTCCCAGCACTGCCCAGGGCCCAGTCAGCTCCGCTACCCTCAGTTCACAGGAACTGGCCCATAAGGCCTGCCTTTCGGTCCGGATGAGAGGATTATTATAATCACAGGCCTTGTCCCAGGAGAAAATGCTGCAGGTTGGAGCCACCCCCCCCTCCGGCAATCTTGTCCCGTCACACACAAAGCCATAGCTCCTGCCCCGCCCCCACCCCATCTGGCCTTCGTCTCTTCAATAATGCACTGTCACCTTTTGTTAACAACAGGAAAGATCATCTCCCTTGGTTCTGGACTTAGACTGGAGCTCGCAGCCACAGGCACCCTCCTGCCCTGTCCTCTTCTTGGTTTCCTCGTCCTCCCCCTTGCCCCTTTCCAGGAAGTCAGCTCAGGGTCTTCACTTCACCCTCACTGCTAAGGGGCCAGTACTTGTGGGGCGAGGCAGGGTCTGTTAGTAGAATGAGGGGTTCCAGTTCAGGGCCTTCCACACCGGCCTTGCCAGCTCACCCTGAATCTCCCCCTAAGGAGCAGCGAGCCCTTTCTTGCTCCAACCTGTCCTTGATCTCCTCAGACCTTCACAACCAAGCATGGTTTCTCAACTTTACGTGTGAAGACGTATGTCAGACTGACACCTGCCTGAGGTGGGGGGAGGGTGGCTCTGGGACGAGGATTCGGGTTTTCTGACCCCCATTCCATGTCCTCAGCGATGTCTCAGGCTGGGAAGTGCACAGAGTCTGCTGGGAGGCGCTGAGTGAAAGATCCAGATACTCACGTCCCACCTCCCCATGTTAAGAGTGAGACTTTGTAGTCAGTTCTTGGTTTCAGCCAAGACAGAGGACCATCCGCTTAAGCTTCCTTATCTGCATCTAGATAAGGTGTTCTTGAAGACCCCAAAAGCTTCCTGACTCTGCCTAAGCAAGGAGAGAGGGTGGGGAGATTCAGGGAGAAACAGATAGGCTGGGGCCTCACAAGTCACGTTGCAGTGGCCCTGCTCGTGAGACTGCTCCTTTCCGCTCCCCTCCTCTTCCTGAGGGCCCTGGGCCCATGGGGAAGTGGCTCACACCCTTCTCCACGAGGAGCTCGGAGCTCTGGCATTTCCCCCATTACCTCAGAGGCCTGACAGGGACACTTCTTTGTGGGGCACCAAGCCTGCCCGCTGTTCTGCTGCCGGCCACATGTCTCAGAGTTGATTTCCTTCCCTTACAGAGCCTGAGCTGCTTCCTCTGAGCTCAGCTAGAGCCTTAGCCTCATTAGCACTTATAGTCTAGCTCACCAGATCTTACTCCTTCAGAGGCTGGGCCTGGCCTACACCTTGTCCTCACCCTCTTTACACAGTTGGCCTTTCTTACCATGCCTGGCACAATCCTCTCATTTTTCCACACACACAAGCAGACAGTTTCTCACCAAATCTATGGGATCTTTGAGAGCTGGACCATGTTTTTTTCGTCTGCATTCCATGGTTCTCCTCACATGACCAGCATGTAGTAGGTCTTAGTGAAAGACAGATGGTCCCTTATCCAGAGCCACACTCAGGGGCAGGAAGGAAGGTGATTTGCACACATTTGCAGAGCATGCAGAGTACCTGAGTCCTGAGTTTTGCCTGCCCACAGCACATTATTGATTCCAGATCTCCATCCCCAAGTCACAGCATGGAGTAGCGGGGTCAGGAGGGTGGATGTGACTCTGTCTGTTATTTGTTAGCTGCTACTTAACATCTTGCTGTTCAGTTTTCTCTCCTACATGACGGCTACCACTATGTCTGCCTTGCCTCCTCGAGGGTGATTCAGATTCCTCTTCTGTAAACTGTGAGTGCCACAGATGTTAGGTGTTGCCTTTGCTATCCCTTTCCTAGGACTGAGGCTGGCCTTCCCTCCAAAGCCCCCAGGTGGCTTTCCAAGCCTGAGCACGGGGTTCATGGGCGCAGGTCCACCTTGCCACCGAGTGAACTGAGTGATGGTAAGCAGCCAGAGCCGGCCCGGGGGCGGGACTCTCAGCACGACGGACAGCTCCGCACAGGGCGGGACTCTCAGCACGACGGACAGCTCCGCACAGGGCGGGACTCTCAGCACGACGG